TCTTCTGAACAAAATTTCTCTTTAATCAAACATATCTCAATCAAGGAAGTAAGCCAAGTAATTGATAAACTTTCAAATGGCAAAAACCAGGAATTGATGGACTTATATATGAGTTCTTCAAAGACACTAAGGAAATTATCGTATCAAAACTAACAGAACTGTTTAACAAAGTTCTAAAAACCGGGAATATTCTAATATCATGAAGCAAAAGCCTTATCACCTTAATATTTAAAAAGACAGACAATCTATCAGAGCTAGATAACTAGAGACCTATATCTCTGGTTAACTCAGATACCAAAATTTTCATGAAAATTTTGACCAATAGAGTTAATTCCATCTATAATGATTTAATTGGTCTAGCACAACAAGCATTTATATCTGAAAGATCAATCAAGATATGGTACTAGATATTATCATAGTTATGAGAAATCAAAATGATCAGACCAAACAGCACTAACTTCTTCTCTTGAATCAACAAAAGGCTTTCGATAGAGTTAATTATAACTTTATTCAAATAGTTCTAAAAAAAATAAACTTTGACCAAAAGTTTAGAAATGTAATTAGCTCACTCTTTGCAACTCAAAAAACACACATAATAGACTCTGGGTTGATTTCGGAGCCTTTTAGTATAGAACAAGGAGTAAGACAAGGGCCTTCTCTCTTCTCTTCTATATATACTGGCCATAAACCCACTGATTCAGGCAATTAATCAAAATATTAAAGGCATTCAAATCAATAACTTAGCATTCAAAATAGTAGCCTATGCTAACAATCTTTTAGTAGGAATCAGCTCTCTATCTGACTGGTCCAAACTTTAAAAATACTAGCAAAATATGAAAAAGCTTTGAATACTATTATTAATAAAGCGAAATCTACCTTAATTCTATTAACAAATATTGCTCAAAGAGTTGAATTACCCAACCAGAATAGGTTTAAACTCTCTAGCGAAGACCAAAATAGCTTCACTATTTTGGGCTACACTGTAGATATAGAAGGTTATCCAGCAAAAACTCTCTGGTCCAAAATGACAAAAGAATCAAAAACAGAATACAAGATCTTATACTAAGAAATCTTTCATTCAAGGAAAAAATCCTAGCATCCAAAACACTACTCATCTCTAAAATATGGTATTTATTGTCATCTACGAGAAAGCAATTTAATGAAATTAATACTTTAATTACTAACTGGATAAAAAAAAATCAAGAATGTTACCATAGTACTCAATCTTCCAACTTAGTATTGAACAAGGAGGGCTAGCTGCTCCGATTCTTAAAGATACGCTTGATGCTAGGCTATTGTCAATATGGATTAAACTCCTCTCAAGCAATACCTTTTGGGCCAGAACAGAAAGAGAAAAGGCAACAATAAAGCTTCAGAACAAAAGAAAACTATCATCGGGAGAAACATTATCCAAATCACCTTGCAAAATTAAAGGGTGGCCAGATAGCTAGAAACCTTATATTATAGCATGGAAAAGATTTAAAGATAGCATTAATGCAATCTACACTTGGCCATAGACACTCGAGCAAATCAAAATAAATAATATTTAAGAACAACAATTTACAGTCAAAAAAGTTTTACAAAGTTGGTATAAACCTACTAAACAATCTCGTGATAACTCAGAAAAGCAGATTAAAAGCCATATACCTTACAAATGATTAAAAACAAAATAGATTCTAAACAAGAAGAAAGATATCTTCTGGAGACTAAATCATAGAGCACTTTTACTAGGTTATCACCTAGTGCATATTGACCAAAACAACTTAGAGAACTGTCTAAACTGTTCTTATATAACTCAAACAATAGAGCATTTTGCTCTAAAATGTCTACTTAGCAAAATTATCTGAGAAACTATATATAGATCACTTAAAGAAGCAGAAAATGATCCCATATCTAGTATACTCGAAGAAATCTTTCAAGCAACTCACATAAAAAATACAAAAAAAGAGAAGCTACTACTTGGTTCTATATAATAACAATCTATGAAATTTGGTGCTGGTATATTCAAGCAAGGTGGGGTAACTCCCTAATACCACAAAAAATGATTGCAGAAGTCATAAACATTAGACTTAGATATGAAATCAATCTTCTATATAAATTAGCTTATCAGAATCTAAATTCTAGGCTTAACAAAGCTAGCGTATAATTAGTTTTATCAAACATTCAATATAAAGTATGCTTAAATACATAAAAAAAAAAACACTTAAAGAAGTAGAATATGATCTCATACCTAGTATACTCGAAGAAATTTTTCAAGCAACCAATATAAAAAATGCAAAAAAAAGAGAAGCTGCTGTCTAGCTCTATATAATAATAGTCTATGAAATCTGGTACTGGTATACTCAAGCAAGATGAGGTAACTTCTTAATACCACAAAAAACAATTACAAAAGTTATAAACATTAAACTTAAATACGAAATCAATCTTCTATACAAATTAGCTTATCAAAATCTATATTTCAGAACTAACAAGGCCAAAAATATAATCAATTTTATCAAATATTTAATATAAATATATACTTTAACTTGTAATTTTAAATAAAGTATGCTTAAAAAAATATAAAAAAAATCTTTCAGGTTTACTTCTAGAAAAATACTCGAAATCAAAATTTTACAAAGAAACTCATTTTTTATCTTTGACTTTTCTAACAAAACAAGGACCTTGGGGTCCAAAAAGCATGAACTTACTACTCTAGACATAGGCAAACAACCAAATAATAAGAAGACCAGGCTTTCTTTAAACAATGACAAAGTTTTTGACTTTACAAAAACTGAAGAAAACAAAGAAAATAACAAGAAACTTGATAACAACAATAGCAATAACAGCAACAACAGTACTAGGCCAGAAACAAACATATTAGTTGATTTGACTCTCAACATATCTAATACAAACTGGGCGAACTAGGTAGAAAAAGAAGAAACAACTACAAAAAAAAGTGAAAGTGAAAATTTTTGTAGTTAACAAAAAACATGTGTAGATCACTCAAACACAACAAGTCGCGTAAATAGTGTAAACAATAAACAAAAAGAACATATGTCTACAGATGACCAATCACCTTCTATGTATCCAAATACTCTGGCCAAATCATTTTTATCTAATACACCTGAGGTACAAAACAACCAAAATAAAGAAACCAAATTCAAACAGTAGTCTGACCTATTTGCGAAGCTAAAGAGAGAAAAGGCAACCTATTCTAACTCATCTTCTAGACAAAAGATTTACTCAAAGAATAAAAACACACTAATTATTGATATTCAAAATCTAAACAACATACCAACTAACAATATCATTGCAGCCCTGATTATGAGTTTAAAAGAGGACCTCATGACTGCGAAGACCTATAATTCAAGAAAAAAAAAAACCTACCTTAAACTTATTCTTAAAGATAAAGAAAAGATACAATACTATATAGCCAAAAGCATTTCTCTCTTCAAGCAAACTCTGTTCAGATATATTCCAGTCAACCTCAACTATTTTTTTTAACTATAAAGTTAAAGAATACCCCTATAGGTAATACCAAACATATTAGCAACCATATTGTAGAAGCCTTCTACTATGTTGGCCAAATAGCATCTGTCAAACCTTTTTTCTATGAAGAGACAACAGTCTGTTCAGACCAATAGTTAGTTACTTTTGAAACTACAGACGATCCAGAAGTTGCTTTAAAAATTCCTAGAACCACTTATATTGGCAATTATAAAGTAATGACAGAATGAAAAGAAGCTCCAAAAATCAGTTTCTATTGTGAAAAGGAAGGGCATATCAAGAAAGATTGTAAGAAACTCAAAGACTCAATAGAAGCTAGACATCTTCTTAGAGAAGCTAGATCTAGAATGAAGAAAGAAAAATACAAAATCAGAGACTACAGAAATTAGCATTAGCTCTAACTATACATGTCACCGAAATAGGTTTTCAAAAAATCCCTATTTCGTCTCCATTAGAGCAATTTAAAATTTTTTATATGCAAGAGCAAATCTAATTTAGGTAGTTATGTTCCTTATAATTTCATCTCTTCAAAAAAAGTGTCAAAAAATTTCGTCTTTTAAGTAAAATAGATCAAAAACAATTTTGTCTTCAAATTTTAATTTCATATCCCAAAACTCAAAATAATTTTGTCAGCATGTATAGCCCTAACAACCCATACAAAACTATAAGAAAGAAGTAATCCAGAAAGAAAAAGAAACCACAGTTCCAGATCCAATTACAACACCTAATAAAATCTCAAACCCAATGAGAATTTATCTAGCAATATAGAACTAGACTCTTTAACTACCAATATTAATACAAATCTCGAAACCAATAAAACAACTGCTAACCTGAGCAATAAAGTAGAAAAGCCCAACTCCAACTCTACTGAGCAAGATAAAACTCTTTTTACAACAGTAGTAGCAAGAAAACATAAAAGCAAAAGCTTTAAAAAATAGTCAACACAGGACCTAGCTATATAGAATCTCAGGAAGCTTCAAGCAGAATTTTCTAGAATCTAAGAACTATCACTAAGAGAATTATCTCTTAGTGTAGCTTACAAACTCTACAATTTCTATGATTAAATTATATAATAGTTGATATTGATTTAAAATTAATAGGTTTGTATTAGGTTTTGCATTTCAATAAAAAAGGTCTCTTTTATAAATTTGCTAAAATACTAATAGATAATGAACTGAAAAAAGATACTAAAAAGTTGCAACCAACTATTTTGAACAATGAATCTGATTCTAAGCCACTATTATGAACAAATTTGATAGTATTATTAAGATAAAATAAATAAATTATTTGGTACTACTTATTATTACTATAATTTGTAGCAAATAGTACCCTTGTTAATATACTCTATGATTTGTATCTGGAATTAGTCAAGTATATATCATAAACATAATTGTAAAAGACCTGGATATATCTAAAATACAATTTATATAGTATGTGATATCTTTTATATCTTTTTTTTATAATTCTATTAAGTGATTAGTTAGTATTTAAAGCATCTTCTGTATATAAACTCTCTATATAAAATACTTTCTATCTGACAAAGTACCTACCAGGTATTAATCAAGATTTTTTTCTAGAAATATAAGAGACCTGAAGTATTATTTGCTGCAAATTATAGTAGTAGTAGATTTTTTTTAACTTTTTTTGTTTTTTTTATTTTTTTTTGTTTTTTTTTTACTTGTTTTTTTTTGTTTTTTTTCATTTTTTGTACTATATGTTGTAGTATTTTATTGTATATAATATTGCTATTATAATAATAAAATAAATATTAATAAAATTGCTTTTAATAAATTTAATACTTTGCTTTAGAATTTATTATGTATAATATATAAAATTTGATTTGCAGAATGTGGTAACTTAGTGAAGTAGTGAAGTTGTCACACCTCCAAGCGGTTGAGTACAAGTTCAATTCTCACTGAAGACAAAAATTGAATTTAAAAAAAACAGATTTGGTAACTAACGCTATAGCTATACATGCTACCAAAATAGGTTTTCAAAAAAACCCTATTTTGTCTCCATTAAAGCAATTTAGAATTTTTTATATGCAAAAGCAAATCTAATTTGGGTAGTTATATTTTTTATAATTTCATTTCTTCAAAAAAAGTATCAAAAAATTTTGTCTTTTAAATAAAATAGATCAAAAACAATTTCGTCTTCAAATTTTAATTTCGTATCCCGAAATCTAAAATAATTTCATCAGCATGTATAGCCATGGCTGAGAAAACTCAAGACCCTGTAACTGTGATTATACCAATTAATAGTTTACCAGAACTAGAAAATCCTAGAGCATTTGTGTAATAAAGAAGTTATACAAAGATATGCAAGCCAGTTTAGTTAGTGCAAATCCAAGATAAGTCTTTCAGAATCACAGAAAGCTACAGAGTCGATATGGCAATAGAGCATTTGCTTGAGAAGTCCCAAATAGAAAAATAGCACAGATCTTTAACAGTACTATATACGGATTACTATTTAGAGAACTAGTAAAACTGAACAGGACTAAAGTGTTCAGCAAGACACTCTACCAACCAGGCTATTGGAGGGTAGCCAGAAGAAAAAAACCTAACTATAGAAACTAAGAGCAGATCATAGTCCTTTCAGGCTATCTGAATTAGTAGTTTGGGATAGCTAGGAATACTAGTAAATAGTCTGTAAATATATACTGGGGTTTGAATAAACTCTATAAAAGCAGAAGTAGGTTGTATAGTAGCGATCAGACTATAGTTAGTTAAAACAGTTATGAAAAAACTAGTAAGAACAAAATAGCCAGAAAATACTTCTACTATAGAAACTAGGCCACAAGTAGCGAACCTTAGCTCATGCATATCAACTAAAGCTTAAGTAAGCCAGATTGTAGGTACAGAAGACTCTAGCAGATTTATTCTAAGAATAAAATTATTCTAAGGTAGTTACTATAAAAAGCTTTGAGTTTATGTATATAGAAATATATATCCGATAGATATAGATCATCTAGTTGTAAAAGTAATCTAAGCAATAATAAAGTACTGACCGAAAGGAGTTACCTTAACACAAAAAAAAAATTTGATTGCAAGTGAATTATATAGTTATTGTTATATTGATATATATTATTAAAGATTATAAATGATCACTAAACAACAGGCTATATATTGTTTATACCTTTAATCAATTTTTAGCATTTGCTAATTAATCAAATTATTATCAATATATATTATAATCAATGAAAATCAGCAAGAGGATTAGTATAATAATATTCTAATCTATTAGAAATTAGCAAAAATGAAGTTTTTACTTATTTATATATAGTCAGGATATTATTAATTAATTTTTTTATAATCTTAATATAGTAATCAGGAGATTATAATCGATATATATCTTTGGGGCTAATAATTAATATATATCTATCTAAATTTTGTTAATGTATATAAATAGAGATATAGCAATACAATCAACTCTTTCTGATAATTACTTGTACCAACTAGTTACTAAAAGCAAGTTGAAGACTTAAGACCAAAAGTCAATATCAACCTCAAGTTTTTTTGATATAAACTGTTGTCAACGAAGTCTTTAAATATAATATATTTTAAATAGTTTGCATAGAGGTCAAGTTTTGGCTCTTGTATATTTAGCATCTAACTAAAGAAGTTTCTGTGAACAACAAGTAGAAAGCAAGCTTAAGTTTGTTTGAAGATAGCAGATATTAAAGAATACTTGAAACAATACTCTTTAGTTAAAAATTCGCAATATCTACAATATTTTTTCTTTGATATTTTGGCCAAAATTTTTGACAAAAAGTGAAGAAATTGGCAAACCCTCTCTAAAAGATTGATATTGTTTACTATTTCTATATCAAAAAACAATACAATAACAAATCAACATGTATAAAATGGATAGTGCTAACAAATTTAGTAAGAGCAGTCGTACTTATTATATAATATTATTTTATTAGGGAGCTACCCCTCCCCTATGTCAGATTTATTAGCCAATCAAAATTAATATAATATATATATATATTATATATTACATAAGATCTTTCTGACCCCTCTCCCCTTCTTGATATTACGTAATAAGTGCTACTCCCTAACTAGATCAGATGCTTCAATAAAAAATTTTATGTAGTATATTATTTAAAATATATAAACATGTATGATATACTTGAAGCTATATTGCTATAGAGTTTCAAAGTTCTTATATACTTTTGGATAATAATATAGATTTAATTAGAAGAGTTAAGCAAAGTATAATAAAATATACAAATATCTTAAAGTTATTTGTATATAATTTTTAATCTCTAGTATAAGTTATAGTATATTTTATTTTTTTTTATATTAAGTTTCTTATAACAATTCAATATGAGTAGTTTATTGCTTTGTATAGATAGAAGTTTTTGTCTGATTAGCAGGTTTTCTTCTTTCTAGTGATAGTTTCTTATAGGTTATAAGTTAGTTTTTTTTTAAATTCTTTATATATTAGTACTCATTTTCATATATATATTTGTTTTTTGTTATTCATCCTTTTTATTCTTTTCTCTTTTTTTTTTTTTTTTTCTTTCTCTATGAAAAAGTGTTATCAGATTGGTGGTATTTTATTATAGAGTGTGATTCTTGACAAGGCTTGCAATACATCAGCTGTTGAGTCTAGAGAAAATAAATCTGAAGTAAGTTTCAGATCTCTGAAAAAGGCCAAGGTATTGCTTAAGCAAGTCATTTTGAATAAAAACACAGTAGTTTAATAGTTTATTTTGATTGCAAGTAGAAGCTAGAGTATAGGATGAGCCAGATCGAATCAGATTCATTTAAACCTGACCTGAGCCTGTTTAAAACCCGACCCAGGCCTGACCTGATAAAAAATTTTTATAATAAATCAGGCCAGGTTAAATTTAAAACCTGACCTGACTCAACCTGACTCGATCATTTAATAATTTACATCACGTTATATTAGAATTATATTATTTAAGCTTTTATACATTACTTACCTCAAATTTATATTCAATACAATTTAAAAACTAAACTGCTTAAATGTTATTCTTTAAATACTAAGCCTGAATCACCAAATTTATTAAGTCTTATATAGTGTTGGTGGTAAAATTACAGAATTATGATATTACGGCATTCTACTATATGGTAGAATTAATTACGGCACAGAATCTAATTGCTGTAAATATTGTGTATCGTAATGCTATAATATCATAATACTATAGTTATTGTTGCCAATTTAATCATAAATATAATGTAATAACTATGTTGTAGATTTGCAGCTAAAGCATTACGTCAATAGTTTTTTTTTTTTTTTTGGTTTTAAAGTGACCTCTTGGTCGATTCTCTTTATTCAGTTATTAGTTAAGTTTTACCGTATGCTAAGCCCCTTACGACGCCCATACAGTATACATATTTTGGAGAGTACAAACTAGCCACACGTACAACTTTTGATTGCCTATTTAAGTAGTCCGCTTATTACTAAGTTCTACACTAGATGCCATACCTATAACCCAACTAGGGAGTTACCTATTTAAACCCTCTGCGCCATATGTGGGTCGACTATTATTATAACTTACATCAATAGTTAATTGCTTTCACATTAGTAAAATAGAACAATTTAGAATAATTTGGGACAATTCAAGAATTTTTGGAATATTCAAAAACAAGTTTTTTATTTTTAGAATAATCTAAAAACCAACTTACTCTTAGCTATAAGGAATAACCTTGACTAATCAGTAAAAAAAAATTAAGATCTTTCGCTATAAACTTTGATAATTAATGATTATCTATTTGCAAAACCAGTAAATTTACTGTATATTATCTTAATTTTAAAAATTACTTTAAACAATAAACACTAGTGGAGTATTATCTTATGTTATTCTATATGAAACCTTAAGATTTCATCTAACATCAAAGTATAATTCCTGGATAAGAATTTTTTACATAATTCCTAGAACATCTGATAAAAATTAGCCAAATGATTTTTTAGCCAATTCGACTAAGTTAGTAATTTCAGCATAATAAATTCTATAAATTGATATATATATATATATATATACGTACATATGTAATTAAGATCAGGTAACTAATATAAATATTATATCATTACAAATATCTCAAATCAAATACAAAAACATGATACTTTCAAGTATCTTCACTGGCAAATAATTAAAAAAAAATTAGAAAGATTATCATTTTGAAAATTGAAAAATCATAGATATTAGCATATCTTTTATAAGTCGAGTTCTTAAGCACTTTCGAAGATATGGACTTCTGTGACAGATATTAATAAAATCAAGATTTTCTTGAATAGAATCTTGAGTCATATCTTAAACTAATCAACAAAATTCTTGACCATATCTAACTTTTTTAAAATCGATACTACTCATGTAATATGTTTATTATAAAAATCTATTTTGGATCTTCTTTAGTATAGATAGATATATATATATTATTACAAAATTATAATATATAAAACCTAACTAATTTGAACCAATTTAAGTTTTAACCTTAACCCTAACTTTAATAATTTATAAAATTATCTAAATTAGTTTAAAATAGTTAATTTATATATATTATAATTATATAATAATTATATATACCCATCTATACTAAAGATCAACCATTTATTTTATATCTGGAGGTTTTTTATATTTTTTGTCAATATTTTACAAACTAAAACACAAAATATTTAACCAAAAATTTATAAAATTGAATGTGTCAATATTTATAATAATAAAATTATCTGTAAAACAAGTATTAATATAACATGTCTTCATATATAAGGTTGAAAAATTACTATAATTTCATATAAGTTTGTATAAGTTCTGAAGTCAAAATTGAATATAATTTTTATTACATGAATAATGTTGCCAAAACTCTCATAAAGCTGGTTCATTAAGTCTAGTAATGCTGACAAAACTTTTGTAATGCTAGTGCAATAATTAGCACTATTAATATAAAAGTTACGTATATATGTATTGTAATTTTATTGAATCTATTATGCTAAGATAATAATCAGATCGGCTAAAATCATTCATCAGGTGTTTCAGAAATTATGATAATAGCAGTAATATTATATCAGGTTTAATTAGACTTTACAGATTAATAAACAGAGCCCGAACCCAACCCGATACTTTAATAGGCTAGCCTAAATCTGACCCGATTTACAACAGATCAATAATTTGAACCCAATCTGGGTCTGAACCTGGCCTGATCTACAAAATTTCGAGTTAAACCCAACCTGTCCCATACCCTAATAAAAGCTTTAGTAACTATACAATTAATTTAGAAAACTTAATTTTTGGCTAAAAAACATAAAATTACTATAGTTAGTACATGGTTTTATATTATTTTAGTTTTTTTTTTTAAATAAAAATAAGCAGAATTACTTTAGAAAAAAAAAAAAGTAGCAATATAGCAAAGTGGTCAAGTTGTTATTCTTTAAATAGTATATCAAAAGTTTGAATTTTATTAGTAACAAAAATTTAAAAATTCTGTTTGTATTATAGCTAACTATATTTAATTAATCAGTTGAGATACCTGTAATTACAGTTATACTAGCAAAACTAGAAGATCAAAATATTTATATAATTAAAATATTATATTAAAAATACAAACTAGTAAATAGATAATGCAAATATAAGATAAATCTTGGGCTATAAAAATCTAAAAAACTGCAAATACAGAAGCTTATTTAAGTAAAAAGTAATACAAAATTTTGATAAAGCTATTATAAAAGTTAAATCTAAAAACAGAATCTATATGAACTAAACTAGATGAAAAATAGAGTTTTGAAAAGCACTTTTACTAACCAGACTATTGCAAATAAAAAAAACAGATAATCTAGCTAAGAAGCTTTTGTAGTT